ATTTTTCAACTCCGTATCACCTGAAAAGACCTGTGTTTTGGATTAAAACTGTTGCAGCCTCAAATTTGTTGTGCATGCATTGATCGCGAGTTTCAAGTAACGAATGATTATCATAAAATCAATTTATCTAGAACACAATGGATTAGCAAGAAAAAATACTTTTATTCATGGCAAAAAATATTGGGTGTAAAGGTGTACAAATCAACTATTTTTTGTGTATCTCACTGTTTCTCAAACTGTGGCGTGTATCCTTACCCCCACGGGTTCTAACCACGTGTTGGTTAGTGAAGGGGTACGCGAAACGGAACGGGAAAAATGAACAAACAAAGTAGTAGAAGAAAAAAAAAAAAGGAGGAAAAGAAAAACGTTCTTGATCAGTGCTCAAAAATTTATTTTTTTTCCTTTGGAGTTAAGCACAAACCCACGCGATGGTCTATCTGTACCGTGCCCACCGGATTTTTAGCATTATAATAATCCTTTAAGACTTGCTACTCTGCCACTAGGGTGGCGACAAAAGAAGTAATTATAATAAAATAAAAGTATCTATTTTCATTATCAGAAACAAAGGTGCACGCCAATTTGCACTAAATTTGAAAAAGGGGTAATTCAGTTTCAAAAGTTTTAGAACCGCTGTTGTAAGTTAATGGAATCTTTCATACAACAAAAAAGCTTCCTGATAAACGGTGAAATCTGTACATAATCTGTGTCAAAACATTATAACATGCACTTCTGCTGTTCTAATGTTTGCCATTGTATTGATACTACTTAAACAATAATCTGGGTATGGTGAAGGATTGGATAATGGTATTGAAGTTAGGGGTAAATATTATTTCTCAGTAATGATATTACATTTTTTTTACTTAGCTGTGTAAACTGTTTTGTTTCTTGTACATATTTTGACCATTATGAGCATTGGAATGCTAAGTATTTTTTTGTATTTTTCTTACCTTTTCCATTTTTTTTCCTGTTCTCATTGTATTAAAAGCATCTACCTAAATGGTACTTTAAAAAGGTGGGAAGTATGAAGTTTGAAATATTTCAGTACCTACTAAAATTGTGGTATATCTCTAGAAAGAATGTTCATAACCAAAGAGTTAGTATGTTTTGCAAAGTTTAGATGTTTATGTTTAGCATTTTTGGTGTTACACACACTTTTCAGTTTTGAGGAACTTATTATTTCTCCATTGACCACATATCTTTGCTGTGATCTGTAGCGACAGGTGATTAGCATGTAACATAAACGACTTAGTGTTGGGAGCTTTAGAGAATGAGGCTGATTGACTTTTCCTGAAGTAATTTTTTTACTATGTTAGCAGCCTTGTTTGATGTGGAGGTTTCAAACTATATGGAAAACAATCCATGTAGGGAAGGTTGGTTAACTGGCAAATATCTGTTAGCAAAATGCTTGGTACCAGACAAAAGATGACAATTTGGGTCATGGCAGTAGCTTTTGTGTTGCTACAAAATAAAACTTGCATTGTTTTGAAGTTGGCTGCTCTTGTGTATATTGTACATGAACATGAAAGAAAAAGTGAATTATGTAAATTATTAGCATAATAAGCAAAATTAATACCACAAAGTAATTCTATTTGAATTGTATATGTTAGAACAGTGACTTTCTGGGGTTTTTTCAAATGGGGGGGGGGATAAATTTTGAGTGTGAAAAGCTAGTTCCGTTTTAGGCATACTTGTAAAAACAAATCTTTGGAAATACAACCAGGCCGTATTTATACACATACTGAACCTTCTTTGAATACTTGTGCAACATCAGTCTAAATAAAATCCTTTCTGCTACAGAAAAAGTTCAGAGAGAAAACCCCTGTAGGGCATATGTTTTCAGTCAAATTTAATGAAATGTTAACTAATGCATAAAAATAAAATAATTCTGAACTAGAAGCATATTTATTTCTCTGGGAGATTGTTTATAGAATACACACTTTATAAAAGTGATTTGTGTTAAGGGAGTCATGCATTATATAACTGACTTGAGCATGTTTAGTCCAAGTGTAAATTTTCCAAGCTGTTTGTTTTCAATTGAAATTTCAAAATATCATCACCATAGAAACTGGCTGTAGGTCAATGTGTGTTTTGTCTGCAGTGTTCTATTTTGATACAGACCTTTGCCATTAACATGACACAAAAAAAAAGATTATTTTTCATAGGCTGCTGAACTTTCTGTCCCAGCATAACTAGTTGTATATCTTGCTGTTAAGTTAGTATGTATACATGTTGCAGTAAATTAATTGTTGATAAATATCCAGAGGAGTTTTTTAGGCAACTAACCATGACTGTAGTAGGATTACTGCTTTCTTGCATGTAGGTCAAAGAGGGTGTGGTGATTGTATAGTAACTGTAAAATGTTAATACTAGAAATAAATGACCTTATAACAACAAAATGTTTTTATTTAATTAGACTCTTAACATTTTGTTACAGCTTCTTCACTAAAACACAAACTGAAAGCTTCAAATGGTCTTAGTGAACACACCTGAAGAAGCTATAAAGCAAAAAAAAAAAACAACAAAAAACCTTACCTTGAGTGTGTAATTAAATAAAAACATAAAGTCGTTTATTTCTAGTATTAATATGTCTTCTATACACCAAGATGTACTGCAGAAATTAAATAACTGTAAAATGTTTTATCTTTAGACCTGAGTTTACTGTTCACTTGTATAAAAGTTGTATTTTTAGTTACAAATTATACAATTCAAAAGGTTTGGTCAAATGGGTGAACATTTTGTTACCTGGTTAAATATGGTAATTCTCTTTATAATATTGGTTAAATATGGATGTTCATCTTTCAAATAGATGCTTAAATTGTGGTATGCTTTTTGATTCAGTTATGTGTAGCATGTATTGTTTTATGTTTCAGATATTTGCTGTCTTACATGTGCATATTTTTAGTGTAGTATGTATTGTTTTATGTTTTATTAGACATTTGCTGTCTTACATATGCATATTTTTATTGTTAGTGAAGTGATATAGTAGGCTTACCTTGCTGTTACTTGAGTCTCAAGTTTGTGTGTATTTGTTGGGATTTACCATTATTTCACATTTTTAGTTTATTTTTGACTCTAGTGTTAGGTTTTCTTTGGTTCTTGAAATTGTAATGTCTCTTTTGGTTGTATATGTATGTATCTGTGATTATTGAATTAGGATCAGAATTTTACAGTAAACATCTAAGAATGCGATTGTTAAAATATATATATATATTTCAAGAAAAAACTGCTATGGAAAAATCATCTTTGGTCCTAATTATACAAATATTATTGGGGTAGAATTTTGAACCACTGAAGGAATTTTTTGTAACAGTACTAACTTGTAAAACAGATGATTAAAAAACAATGGTAATGACACATAATAAACATTTAAAATGAGACTGTCCCCAGTCTCAAAATACAATAAAAAATGTTTACTTAAAAATTTACTATATAAAGATAAAATATCATTAGACTGGAAACAATCTCATACACTCTTTTCACAGTAAACTATTAAGTAAAATTTTTATTGGGGACAGTCATTTTTTTAGATGTTTATTGTGTATCATTAAAAGTTTTTTTTGTTAAAAAATATGTGTTACTTAAAATTTAAACAAGTTTTATTTTAATCTTAGTTCTAGCTTGTGTACAGTATCAAGGGTCTAGTGAAAACTTGAGTGCTATTTCATTTTTTTAATAACTACTTTAAATTAGATTATGGTAGAAACAAAGGTTTTCTTTCAAAATTTCAAATGCTCAATTATTCCACAACATATCATCAAAATATCCAATATTTCTTTTAAAAAAGAACTGGCAAAGCCATCATGACAAAGTATTGGGTATTTTAATAAAATGTTCTGGAGTAATTGGTTATTTGATATTTAATAATTTATCTTATAATCCATTCTAAAATCCAATCAGCTTTGCATACACTTAAATATAATAAATTTTGTTACAACAGATATGTAATTAGTGCAAGAAATTTCAAAAACCTAAAGAACTTTGTGATTAAAGGGAAGCCAGCCTAAACATCATCAGTGTATGTATGTATGTATGTATGTATGTGTGTTGTAAGGTTAGTGCACTTCATCATTAACTCAAACATAATTCTAATTTTTTACAATTACTGAGATTTTAAGGACTTTATGCCCCATAATTGTTAAGCACAAATTATGACTTGTTTGCACTTCCTGTCTTCTGGGCCTGGCACGGTCAGGTGGTTAGGGTGCTCGACTCGCAACCTACGTGTCGCGGGTTTGAATCCTCGTCCCACCAAACATGCTCGACCTGTCAGCCATGGGGTGTTATAATGTTATAGTCAATCCAACTATTTGTTTGTTAAAAGAGTAGCCAAGAGTTGGCGGTGATGACTAGCTGCCTTCCCTCTAGTTTTACACTGTTAAATTAGGGACGGCTAGTGCAGATAGCTCTCGTGTAGCTTTGCGCGAAATTCAAACAAACAAACCTGTCTTCTGTTACTTTTTGTAATTCCTGACTTCTATGATTAGCATGTAATTTCTAAATTATGGGATTTGTGATTCATGGCTTCTACTGATATGATCAGTGATATCCGAGTTTACTGGAATTATGAAAGTTGGGCAAACCTTTTTGTCTGCTAATGAGACATTATGAACTGGGATAAACAGTTACATCAGAGCCATAGAGAAACTACCTAGTTTAATGTTGGCAAATAGTTTGTTTCTTGACAGTAAGTTATAAAGGTTAAGCTAGTTTAGTCATTGTTAGTGTATTACCTAGTGTTCAATCACTCTGTGATTAAAGAGAAGCTGGACATAATTATTATGGCTAATGTTTCTAATTCCCATCTGCCAAGTATATTTATTGATTTTAGTAGGTATTGTATATTTGTATTTATCTTTTATTGTGACTATAGATAGAAATAAATTTAATTTCATAATTGAAGATACAAAAAGACCAAAAAACCATAATCACAAGTGCATTGTTATATAATAGCGAAAGTAAAGGTGTTTTCATTTGCGTTAAAAATGTCAATGTTCTTTCAGATCATGTTACTCAGCCACATTTTCCCATGTATTACTCAGGCCACAGGGGAACAGATGATTCCACCAGAAAGGTACACCTTTATATCATTCTGTTATATGTTTTATTTGAGTCAAACTGTGCTTGAAAAGAAGGATATACATCAATATTTATATACTTTTTAGATTCAGAATAAAACCCATACACAGAATATTGATTCTGGTTAAATCAGATGCAATAAGAAATGTTTACCAATGTCTCAAAAAATTTGTACTTACAGAATGGTGTGGGTTTTTCATTTTTTCAAATCATTTGGCACTTCACTCACTAAATTATAATTATTTTTACAAAGATTGTCTACTGATACATAAGTTGTGCATAATTGGTGATTTAAAAACAAACAGATGAATAAAAAGATTCATAACTGCATCCTACTCTGTTAAAGAAAGGAATTTTTATTTATCCAGCTTAACCTTTTCTTTGCCATCACCATGGAAACGCAAGTTGGATAACTCAAAGCTTTTGTTTAATTTCTTTCCTGATTAATTAAAATGGCACAAAAGTGAAATTAAATTATGTGGATGATAAAAACTAAATAGAAATGAGCTTAATCATGTACTTCTCTTAGGAATATAATTTTTCTTGCCATATATATTGGTTGCCATGGAAACTTGCTTGCTCAGCATGAATGATGAAGAGATTTGTGTTCACAAGATGGAACATGTTGTTTTACCATTGATAGATGTTTAATTTTTTTAGCTAAGTATATTTCTTAAAATTATTATTCTTTTCACTGTGTTATTTTTAGAGCAGGGATTGATGTATTTTAGACGTCATCAACTTTGCTTTTACACATCATGGTAAGTAGAGCAGAAAGTACGTTGTGCGTTCTTAAAAAAATATCGATGAATTATTTCTGTGAGAAACGTGGCTGTGAACTCTTTCGTTTATTGATTGTGACCTCTATTCTACATATTGTTTTATCTGTCTGTCAGTCAATTAGTCTATCAAAAAACTCACCTAACCAATGTCTTTACTTTTAAACGTTGTTTTTGGAATACCTTTAATTCACATATAAGCTGTCTGATCAGTGCTTGAAAGAGAGGGGGAGAAAAGTTTTCTTTATGTGGTGTTATTTTGAGTTTTCTTGACCGTAGAATCCGTGAATTCAGAAGGTGGCCGATTCGTGGTTTGACAGTCTTGTCAGATGCTCTAGAGCAAGGTACGGCAACGTTTACCTTTTGGGTGCCACTTATCAGTATTCGAAATTTAAGACCCTTTGCGCGTGCCACCATTGTTTTTTATTTAAATTCAGGTTACAGTATTATAATGTTATTTTAATTGTACCCCATCTTGTGAAATTACAGTTGCTTTTCATCAATAAACACCAAACAACAACATCTTTCTTTCTTTTTTCTGTTAATTAACGTGCCACACAAAATATTTTTGCGTGACACAGGGTGGTACAAGTGCCGTGGGTTGCCGACCCCTGCTGTACAGGACTGAGCACCAACAGATTCAGTATGTATGGCATGTTGTATCGATTAACGAACTTCTGATATTGGGTCAGCACTTTACCTACTAACTTTATCCATATATACGACTGACGACTCATACTTTGCAGAATTTTTCTATGGTTCAATGTAAAAACGCGAAGATCAATAATAGTAATAATAATAAATTTGAAAGTAATACTCTTTTAATGAATATAGATAAATGTATCGCTAATCGATGGATAACGTTCGAGTGCAAGGTTTGAAAAGTTCGGTTTACTAGGCATGTGCTAAATCTTGCATAATTTTCAAGTAATGACAGAATTATGAAACGGAGTGTTTTTGCATTAAATTAATACCACTTGATAACAAAGAAATACAGCCTTAAGTTTCGTTTGCCCAACTGAATGTTTTTTGTTTTTTTTTGCTGTCTCCAAATCTGGAACACATATCTGCCGAACTCATCGCTAAAAGGCCTAGCTGCATAAATGTAGCAGAAGATGTGTTATGGGAAATGTTAAAAAATGGAGTCTTTCGTGAATTAAAGAAGAATTGACAAGTATGAATATTATGAGTTTGAGGTTTGTAATAGTTAAAAAGTAAACGACATCTTTGAGCAATAAAGACAATGGATCATTTCATGTTACTGAACATTTGAAGAAAATAACTGTTATAGGTCAGACACGTCAGTTTCATGATGCCGTCAAAATCCGGTTAACGTTTAAAACAGAAACAAAAATTATATGTTGGCCTTTTCCCTAAATTATACGTTTTTGAGTACATTTTAAAGAAACTGGAAAAGCGGGATTAAAGTACGTGCCATTTCACAATGTTTTATCCAAGTCACTTAAGCCTATTTCCTTTACAGTATCTGTTACGTGGAAAGAAGAAAATATACAGATTATGTTATAAAAAATACAAGAATTTCGTAATGAATGTATGTATGTGTATGGTAGAATTTGTTTAAGTTACATTTTAACTGTAAAAACTTTCTGGTATACATGAATACACAAAAAATTGAGTGTTAGACATATACATTATGTAGTTGTTAACATTATTAGAAAATTTTATTTTATAATTCATACAAGTATGCCATTATTATAAAGGGTAGGAATGGCAGCTTCTAGTAACCAGTTTTATTTTTTAATTCACTTTCCTTGCTTATCTGATCTGACCATAGACAGTGAATGGTAGTTTCTGATCTGAAACGTCGTGGGTTTGATTGCCTACGTCAGCATTATTAATTTTTTTTAGTTTTCAGTTCTAATTTCGTTTTATACGCGAATCTCGTGAATATAGGTTAAATCTATTAGACTGTGTCTCCCCAACCACTTTATTGGCTCTACCTCTACAGTTCTCTCTCCTATTGAGATGGCACCACTTTTCCCACGTTGTAATTTGTATCAAGGTTTCTTTGTCTGACCTATGTAGTTGTTTGAAAAATTGTTCAAGGTAAGAGGATATGGTTATTTTATATAAATTAACATAGAAAAAAATTACAAACCGTACGTTGGTGGATTTCTGAACTATTAAGAAATTGAAATGTGATTTCAGAATAAGCTGGATAAAATTAGACGGTTTTTGGAGTGGAATTATATACTTGTGCATATGCATTGTACGTATTAAACCATACTGGTGTGGTAACTATCCAATAGCAAGGAAAACATTCTGTCTGCCTGTGGACGCATCTCATTGTAAACGAGTTGACCGATACAGACCAAACTAGGCATTGTAACTTAGAAATCCAAAAGCAGAACGAATTCATATTAAACATTCCCATATACTGAAAAATTGAGATATTTTATAGATTAGCCCATATATCTTTACTGCAGTAGCTATTGTAAATAGTTGAGTTTGAACAAAACTCACGCCACAACTAAATTCTGCAAGTTAAAGATTGTAAGTAAAATGTTCAGCATTTCGGCATGTTTTCCATAACAACCAAAATATACAGTGATAAAATATCCAGCTGCAACGTGGAGAATAAATATATTGCTGCTGTTTAAGTTTCCCGCTCTTTTCTGATTCACACCATTTAACTTTCAGTTTATATTAGGGTTAGAATAAGTTCTTAAGCCTGGACTAGAGAAGTATTTATTTCATAATTAGAATATTTTGAGGGTATTTCTTACTTCTTGATGGAGAATATAGTTATCCATAGAAGCAAAATTCAAGATTGTTATTAAATGTAAGGCATTAAATGGATCAAATTCAGACAGTAGAAATCTTCATCACATTTCTATTGTGAAATGGACTGTTTTGAACAAGAAATGATGCAACTGCTTTGCCATTTCTACCAAGTGTCTGGACTGGCTTCTACACCTCCTCACTTCTGATTCACTTCCCTTGTATTACAACAATTTTCTTGAAGAATGAACGATACTGAAAATACTCATGGATATTTTGCTCATTTTTAGCAAACTTGTGTGTGTCTTCAAATAGAAAAAAGATGGAGGATAGCAGTCTCGTTAAAATCAGGAAACTTTTAAGATAAGACATTTAAAGTGCAATACAAGAGCTTCAGAAAGAAAGCCTATTATGGACTGAGAGTTTACATTACTTGCAGACTTTCACTGGATCTATTGGGCTTTCACCAAGCTGGGTATGCAATTTGACTACTCAAAAAGCTAGTGAAATTGCACATCTACTTAATTATCTTTTATTTCAGGGCCATCTTTGCTTAGTTAATAACAGTGCTCAATCTATAACGTAATCATTAACCAATTAGGTATTATAGCATTTATAAATATGATAAATAATTATGTTTTAAATTACTGTTAACAGTTTTGTTATTTTACTTGCCAATCATCATGGGTAAACAACTACTGTTTCCCTTTGTTAATTACTTGTATTTGTGTATTGACATATACATGTTTATGCATTCGTAAATTGCAAGCGACGAATGCGCTTAAAAACCATATGTACTAGTTAAACAACATTGGATTAGAGTACTAGGTTTAAATATATATATATATATATTATAAAGATAGGAGCTCTATACTTATCGATATTTGGAAAAAAAACACTGTGGTTTCTTATTAAAATTGATGACGGGCGTCGTACGATCCACAAAGTTAGGGAAACTTACTGGAACATCCATTTTTGAAAACAACTAGGCCTATCATGGGGTAGTATCTAAAAGTTTAATTGATAACTATAACTAAAGATGGCCATCTTTTCTTACTTTTAAATGTATTTCATATGCACATACCATACGTTATAATATGGAGATTGCAGACAAAGTAGGTCCGTTTGTTTTGCAACGAAGAACTTGAAATATAAAGTTATCGTCCAGATGAGCTAAAGCGAAAGCCGTGTTTTCGTATTGTTTTGTTTTATTACAAAGAAATATAGCGTATCACATTTCGCTGTAGCAATACATAAACACTTACTTGTAGGTTATAACATATTACATTAATTTCTGTAGCAATACATATATAAACACTGACTTGTAGCTTATAGCTTATTACACTATTTGCTGTAGCAATACATATTTAAACACGTGCTTGTAGATTATAGCATATTACATTAATCGCCGTAGCAATACATATTTAAATACTTGCTTGTAGCTTATAGCATATTACAATAATCGCCGTAGCAA